CTGTTGGACGGAGTACTGTCTTGCGATCATCAACGTGAGGTTTCAACGATAATTTCGTTGACGCCCAAAATTTACTCAGTAGTCAGATAAGCCGTATACTACTTTGCTATTCACCGACTGTCTTATAGCAAGTACATGTACCCCAAACTGCAACAGACAAAATTTATGCGGGAAAATTTGACCAATAAATTCCAATGGATGGAACGATGGCAGTCCATTACGTCCATCGCGCTGGAAGCCTTCGATTGCGCACACCATCTACATCAGGGTTGGCTTGACGAAAAGGATGAAGAGCTCCACAGTCTGCTGACAGAGAAGAATAGATGACATACGCCATATGCCAACGATTGAGCCGGCGCCCGTAAAGCCGTAGGCTTCAGATACCGGAAGTTGATGAATCTGTGTGAGATGCAATTTGCATTACATGAATTATAATGATGAAGAAATCAAAGAATACAGTGAACTGAATAAGCTCTTCACAGTCATTAAGTTGGCTTCTGTTCTCAAGCCAAGGAGCCTGCTCAACTCTAACGGTGCAACTCAACCATCGGAGACTTCGCATATTCTGAGGCGCTGAGCCACGCGCCCTGGGGTGTGCTTAACGATCGGTCCACATTTTGGAATGGGACCGTTGACTAGCCTCCCCAAGTGATGCTCAATGTCGAACTCGATCGTCTACCCTCCCTCCGGAGACAATAAGAATGGTGCAAAAGTTATCCGATACAGTTATAGCATAAATTCTCAGGTCGAGCAGGCCAATCTCATGGCCTCATTTGACCATATGCGCTTGTACTACTAAATTCTTCAGTAGAACCGCGCAAGCAAGACCCGCTCCCAAAAAGGTTTTCTCCTATCGGTAGACAGATCTAAGTCGCACATGGTCCTACTCGGTTACACACGTGTATGCACGGCAAGTGTTGGCGGCCTCTTGCAGTTCTATCATGCAAAACATATGTCATGTACTTTGATACGGCTGTGTGACTTCATATGTGAAAATGCGCACACAGCACCCGCGCAGGAAGCGTTCATGGTACATAGTGAATGCCAACCAGGCCGTGTGTGGCACAGGTAAACGGACCGTTCAGTTCCGTTCATGCCTACCACTGCTTCTCTGGATTATTTCCCATCATCGAAACACAAGATATGTGTTCTGAAGGAGGGAGTTAGGTTCTTGCAGCCAAATTCGGACATTACACAAGTAAATGCATGCCTGGCCATCTCGGGATATAGAGGTGGACGAGTTTATTGAGGCGGTCAAAATATCGCATGTGTGGGTAAAGAATGCGTTCTTGTTTCATAACCTATTGCGTTACCATCCAGAGGTGTGCGAAGATAGTATACAGTTTCAGACCTCCAACCGTCCTCTTACCTTAAAAATGAATTTTAGTGTTTTGGGTGCGCTGGTCTGCTCCACTTATTGAGGTCAACCGTTGTTTGCAGACGTGCACCTGTAAATCATACCCATAGGGTTGAAAGAATCCTGAAACCTTACAAGTGTATCTGCTCATGGACCATGCGATTTGGCCTTGTCTTTGCTATTAGCGCCTATTGATTATTGATCACAAACGTCCAAGAGGGTTCTTGGTGGAAGATCAAAACAAAACGGAGCTGTTCCTAATTCGGGATACAAGGAGGGTAGCTGATTTCGAACCATATACTCCTGACACCCACCGATAAATAAGTGGAACTAAGAGCTATTAAATAACAGTTTGGTTTTCATTTATTGGTGTGTATAGTTAAATTCTTCGTTCATATCAGAAAACGACAGCACATATCTTATGGGTCAGTGCTTATTGAGGCTGATTTCCCATGCAAGTTGGGTGCATAGCGGATGTTTGAAGTCAGAATGTATTCAACGTCTTAAAATCCAGATATGAGCTACTGAATTCAGAAACTTAAGGTCAATAGTCGGCATGTAGGTTTTCCCCACAAACATGCAACCGACGTCTAGGCCCATGCTTTCAGCATGGCAAGTCAATCTAAGTGAAGACACTGCCCTTTGAGAGAGGTCGACGTCTACCTCCAGTTATGTTTGAAGACTGTTTCGACTCCGACTAGGCGCTTACAAGGCCGTCAATTTTCTTGACAAATCCTCCTTCGGTATGAATTATCAGCAGTTTCTGTCATATAATGAACGGATCTATTTCCATTCATATTTTACTCCGCATATGAGAGTAAGATTAAAAAATAAATTGCTGCTCAGAATTCAATGAGCACGGAATTCATTTCATTTCATTTTAGTGGGAAAGAAATGTGCACATCTTCATTTTCATTTGCCATACTGTAGATTTCGAAATTCAAAACTGTAGACGCCCTACTTTTGACTGGATTGATGCCTTATGAGAAGTAAAACATATCCGTAAACGATGGTGGCTACTCTTCAAAATCTGCTGGTCTGTCCATCTCTAGATGAATGCAGCGTTCTCGTTCATAACCTGGGAACGTTGGACGGACGATAACAGCTGAACTGTTGGATGAGAGGATATATTTCCTATGCCGTTATTTGACCCGATTAACATTACTAAATCACTTGTTTGAGTGTACTTCGTGCAGACCCTAGTTACTTATGCAAATTCCCGTACTTCGATTCTTGCAGGTGATGTGGTCGTGAAGAAATTTTTTATTCTGTGATTACTAAGGCAAACCCTTGTGTTTGCGATTGGGCGGTAGTGCTCGAAAAGTCCTCAGAAGAAGAGGTTATCGCGGTTGCCAAATCCACAAAGACAGCAGGCTCATTCTCCTTTTGTACAGTCTGTTCTAAATGGACACCCAGAAAACAACGCATATTTGCCTTAAGCTCAGAGTTCTGAGAAGAAGGCACTACCACGTGGAATCTGGTCTTCATCTTTTATCACATTTATCAGAATAGTTACACAATCTCTGGTGCTGATGGTTAATTTCTTCATGCATCCCTTTTAGTCTCATCGGATGATGCGGTCACTGATTCTATGCGGAATGGAAGGCAGGTCACACAGGAGATTTTTTTGGCAGCAACTACAAAATCTTAAGAGGTTCTCTCAGAGGGTGGTTCCTGCTGAGACCCGTATAAAGTCTGCACTGAAAGTGGCGATCTCGACATTGTATCACATGATTTGAGTGGAAACTGAACCTATCCTGCTTTCAGGTTCGTTGGTCGATTTTTTATCCGAGGGAAGTGGAAAATGGAAACGGACTGATGAGCGTATCATTCCGATGGAAGTGTACTGCGGTTTTGCGTTGCTCATATTTGTTGTTGTGTGACATCAAACATTCATGAAATACAACGCAGATATATCGGTAGTTCAAGGTTGCCAGTCCCATCATTTCCAATAGAACTTCAAGCATCATCTCTCTAAGTAAATTTCATAGACTTATTTATGGTTGCCGTGGACACGGATGTGACTTTATCTGATGTAAGAAACGCAAATTTCATCACAAATACAATCTTCACGCTAGACTATTAGTAGGGATGAAGTTGAAATCTTTACTAACTCTCTTCACCAGTCACGGAGAATGAATACCCGAGGATCAAATTTTCACGCTCCTCCATGTCTCGACGGGGTATCAAAAGTTTTACAATTTAACAATTCGGTACCTCCAGTTACACCCACATGGGAACCGAGCTTGGTCTGGTTCCAATGCTTGCATGGGCAGACGATGAATACAGTGCCCAAAAAACTTCGCTCATTTTTCTTAGACAGGGTGAACTCCTTGCGCTTTTTTCGCAACAAGTATCGGTGGTGTCGTTAAGGGGCTCGGGTATTTCAAATGGAACTCGATCTGATGCACAAGGAATGGAAGCCAAAGATTTCAACTCGTTCTCTGTACACACAGCCAAGCATTCAAGATTGAAAGGGAAAGCTAACCGGATGGATGTCTAGCATAAGCAGATACGGTAGCGAAGGAGATATGAGAACTCGTCCGCAGCCATTTTGAACTGTGTAAAACAACCCCGCAAAACAGCGTCATTTAAGGCAACGACGTCGTCTTAGCCTTGGCAGCTCGACACAAGTTATTCCAACCTGTCAATTTCTCCTAAGTTTGTCTCAATCATTACGAGGTTCATTTGATACAGTTTGAAAATACGTTGGATTTCGGGATGTGACTGATGTAATTCATTGATCTGATAACCATGTTCATTCGAGACTGTATTCCGCTGGTTGGGTGAGCGTAAGTCCTGCTGGACGATATCATTGATGCTGCGGGGTCTGTCGGTTGGCGTGCAGATGCAAAGCCAACATAGTCTAAAGATTATTACAGCCTTTCCAAGAATCCGATCATTGATGTGGTTGATAGTGTAGATGGCAGAAGGCACCTTTTTGAAATCCAGACCTAATATCGGACTACGGGGCATAAGTTTTATGGATACAAACCTGATGAACAGTAGAACGGGTTTTGGCAAGTATAGACACTGTACTGAAGTTATAAAACGGGACTTTATTGAAGTAGAAACTGGCCTTCCGTATTGATACTTTATAGTAAACCATGTTTTCAGTGGTTTGTATACTAGTTTTGCGCCAGCCTCGTAGCCCCAATAATCTCATACATTTCTCTACCGTGTCCGGTCACATAGTTCGATTTTGCCGTAGTACCATAGGGCAGTCCACGAAGGAAATAGTGTGTCAAAATCGTGTGCAAACGAGGATGTTTCTTAAAAAAACCTCCGAATCAGTGGAACAAGTATTCTGTGAACATTT